ATAGTTGAAAGTTCAGACTTAAACCTTTCTTATAAAACCTGCATAACAGCATCAAGAAAATTAGATAGAAGTTTCAATATACTAAAACGTAAGTAATTTGTTTCCTGGAAGTTATGGAATCTGAGAAAGTGAGAAAGGAAAATCTTCATAGTCGGGTTCAGATCCACTCCAGTAAACTTTTGTCCCTTCATAGTCAGCCTTATTTGTTAGTAAGATATGTTAAACCAATTTCTGGCCTGCTCGAGTATTGACAACTTTGCATTCTTTATGAAGCAGATAGATTAGTTCACATTCACCCTGTGGTGTATATTTTGTGTTAATGTATGACAAAAGCAAATGAATATTGGAATATCTTTTTTTCTGTAAGATTGAAGGTTACAAGTTTGAGCTTTTTACTAATTCTACAGGTCACGCCAAACGAGTTTCGAAAATTGCCATTTGGCAAAGCTCACAAATTTGTATCATTCTGCAGCAGGGTTCAAAATTTCACAAATTTGTAACATTCGGGGGCAAATTTATAGCTTAGACTATAGGCACGTGAATCCATGATCTATCTGGCAAAATAAAGTATTTTATATATGCATTTATTAGAATCGATCAAATATTAACTACTGACACCCACGCTTCAAAAAAGTTGAATGATGCACTTGATTGAATACTGAGTTATTTACCCAAAGGAACATAAATTGATTTTCACTTTATACTTTTTTTTTCTCCTTTCTTTAGTAGAGCAACCATATTTTAGAAATACTAGATCTGCCTCTGTTCTTTATATTCTCTTCGTGATCATAAAGTTTTACTTTCCAGTTTAAACCCAAAAAAATACGGGCCACGATTACATTTGACGGCAAAATCCATTACTATTTGTTCATACCAACAGCGTGTGTTTGTAAACTCCATTACTTTCTCTGCTTTTTCATTGTTATGGTATTATGAACTATTTGGTATAATGCTTGGATACAGCAGCAATACTTGACATTGAATTCTGCTTGATATAGAGATGTTTTCATGGATAGAATGCATAACAAACGAGGAGAGATATCAATAGAGAACGAAGCTCAAGCCCTAGCAACTTCTCTGGTGGACCTGTGACAGCTCTCCATATAAAAAAGCATAATGTATTTCATTAAATCCACAACAAACAAAAATAACTTCTAATTCATGTATTTTATTCAACAACACATAAAGAAAAAATAAATCATTTGTGTCTTAAGTATATCCTTTTAATTCTAACATGTATCTCTTCAACTAGTGATCATGACTAACCTCGTCGTCGTGACTAGAAGACACTTCTGGTCTTCGTTCACCTCTAATGTGACATGCATGTTCTCTCCTGATTATGTGAATTAACGTTGCTCATCAGCCACGAAGTAATAATGGCGTTGCAACGATCCCATTGATGAGCTAATCCAGATCCAAAATCACCTTTTGAGGTGGTACCATCAACTAAGCACAATTTGTTCTTTGCTAAGATAGCTACTTTCATAGCTCGACTCCATAACGTGTAGTTTTCTATTCCAGTTAGCAACAAACCAATTGACAACGAACCTGGTCCATCGGATGGATGTAGATAGAGTGGGTGATTGTGATCGAGATTAGGTCCGATCGGTGTTGCATTGGTGCTATCGCCTGAATTATCTTCCCCGACCATGTCTGTTGTAGAAAATTACTTACAATTAGTCAACTAAATCAAAAAATTAGGGTTTCGATCATGGAAAGCTCCTTTCTGATTTTGACAGAAATTGAACGAAATGAAGAAAATGCGAGTTGATTCTCTCGATTTACAGCGAAATCCCTAGAATCAATCATCAATCGGCTCTGATACCATGAAGAATTTATGATTCGAAGATGAACATTGAGCTAAGAAATGAGAGAGAAGACAGGGGAAGAAGAAAGCTAGTCTTCATTATCAGAAAAATAACTGCATGTACAGTGTTAACTACTCGTTTATATACTAATACAACTTGTACTAACTAATTGCTAACTATAGTTAGTTGAGCTAGCTAAACTCTAGTTAAGTTACTTCACCACTCATTACATTTATACTCTCAACAATATTTCCACCTCACTACAATATCGTTCACACTCTCTATTTTCCTCACAGGCTATTTTTTTATACCCTGTCTGTGATCCCTCACTCTTTTTTTTTTCTCTTTTTTGGTGTGTTTGAAGAAGTGAGAAAGCACCTCCTTTTATTGGAGAAAATAAGCTTGGGCTCCAAGTGTGATACAGGAGAATTTAATTCTCCTCCACATCTTTGCATACTTTGGCTCCAAGTAAAATCTTCCGCCAAGCTTCTCTACGAAAGTAAATTCATAGGCAAAATAGGCACAAAGCTATTGCCAACCAATGAGATGGACCCCACACAAACCTGAGCAGAAGTAGACAAAAGAGCTGAAAGTTCAGACTTAAACCTTTCTTATAAAACCTGCATAACAGCATCAAGAAAATTAGATAGAAGTTTCAATATACTAAAACGTAAGTAATTTGTTTCCCGGAAGTTATGGAATCTGAGAAAGTGAGAAAGGAAAATCTTCATAGTCGGGTTCAGATCCACTCCAGTAAACTTTTGTCCCTTCATAGTCAGCCTTATTTGTTAGTAAGATATGTTAGACCAATTCTGGCCTGCTCGAGTATTGACAACTTTGCATTCTTTATGAAGCAGATAGATTAGTTCACATTCACCCTATGGTGTATATTTTGTGTTAATGTATGACAAAAGCAAATGAATATTGGAATATTTTTTTTTTTGTAAGATTGAAGGTTACAAGTTTGAGCTTTTTACTAATTCGACAGGTCAGGCCAAACGAGTTTCGGAAATCGCCATTTGGCAAAGCTCACAAATTTGTATCATTCTGCAGCAGGTTTAAAATTTCACAAATTTGTAACATTCGGGGGCTGATTTATAGCTTAGACTATGGGCACGTGAATCCATGATCTATCTGGCAAAATAAAGTATTTTATATATGCATTTTTTAGAATCGATCAAATATTAACCACTGACACCCACGCTTCAAAAAAGTTGAATGATGCACTTGATTGAATACTGAGTTATTTACCCAAAGGAACATAAATTGATTTTCACTTTATACTTTTTTTTTCTCCTTTCTTTAGTAGAGCAACCATATTTTAGAAATACTAGATCCGCCTCTGTTCTTTATAGTTGTCTTTGTGATCATAAAGTTTTACTTTCCAGTTTAAACCCAAAAAAATACGGGCCACGATTACATTTGACGGCAAAATCCATTACTATTTGTTCATACCAACAGCGTGTGTTTATAAACTCCATTACTTTCTCTGCTTTTTTATTGTTATGGTATTATGAACTATTTGGTATAATGCTTGGATACAGCAGCAATACCTGACATTGAATTCTGCTTGACATAGAGATGTTTTCATGGATAGAATGCATAACAAACGAGGAGAGATATCAATAGAGAACGAAGCTCAAGCCCTAGCAACTTCTCTGGTGGACCTATGACAGCTCTCCATATAAAAAAGCATAACGTATTTCATTAAATCCACAACAAACAAAAACAACTTCTAATTCATGTATTTTATTCAACAACACATAAAGAAAAAATAAACCATTTGTGTCTTAAGTATATCCTTTTAATTCTAACATGTATCTCTTCAACTAGTGATCATGACTAACCTCGTCGCCGTGACTAGAAGACACTTCTGGTCTTCGTTCACCTCTAATGTGACATGCATGTTCTCTCCTGATTATATGATCAACGAAATCTCTGCTAGTTTCAAATTTTGCTTTGGCCGTTAAGAAGAATATTGCTTCCCTCCATAATGCAAGTCTGATACATGCTAAATTTCTAAACAATTATAGTCTATGACCTGAAAACAGTAAAATAAAATGAGTATTAACATTATGACTAGGTAGTAAGATATTCCTTTTACTTAGTTACAACATTCCATATGATTAGCATAAAGACCATCCATTGGTGTAGCTACCAACGCAAGAATACAGCACTATGCCTCTTACAAAGATCAACAGGACAATTAGATCAATATGCTAGTCACTCCTGTCCCCTCCGCCACCCAACCAGGGGCGGACATACGTTACTCCAAGCGGTGTCATCCGACACCGCTTCGCCGGAAAATCTTAAAAAGTACACATATAAGCAGTAGACTCAGAAAACGGATATATAATTAAAATGACACCATTGGAAAAACAAGCGTACTTAGTCTAATGGCCAGCGCGTCCATTTTCACCCAAAAGGGTGGGGGATCGAAATCCACTCCTTACATTTCTGCATAATTTTAAAGCATCTTTAGTTTAAAAATTAGATTCTACAGGAATCGAACTATAACCTTAATTTACAACTTCTGAGTGATCGAATTTGCTTGTGTTACTCTGCTCAACTTGTTATTTTTCATGTCGTTATAGTGTTTTATTTTTTTAATGATGACACCGCTTACAAAAAATCCTGCGTACACCCCTGCACCCAACGAGACAAAATTTGGGTGAGAAGTGGGATTAAAAATTTCATTTTTTTCCTTTCTTGTTCTCACCCAACATAGAAATGCAAGAGGTCTCACTGCAGCAATCAAGTGGGACAATGCTAATCAAGGGAATAAGACAATCACAAAGAAGTAGCCCATCAACCGACAAAAAGATTAAACCATCCCAAAAATTAGAAGTCCGAGTTAAAGAAACAAGCGATGAATTAATTAAACAAAAATAGCACTACAAGTTGTACTATTTTGTCCTCCGTGAATTCATTTTCCTCAGAATTCTGTGGATGGTTTCAAATGTGACACTGGCCATCTGATTAGCATCATCATGTTCGCATATATCTAGACTTAAAAAAACTTTAACGAAAATAATCAGTTACCTTCCATCAAGTAAAGTAACCAAATCTATCACTATAAGTGAGGATAAGCAGGCAGGTCATGGTCAACATGTCTGCCTGTCCATCCAAGGATAAAAAAAAGCCCAATTTAAAAAAAGTCCAATTTTTAGCCCAACACGTGAAGTTCTCTTGCCAAACCACCTCCTCCTCATACCTCTGCTCTCTCACTCCTCTGCTCTGTCCATTGTTATTCTTCTAACTCCTCTTCTCTGTCTATTGTTATTTTGCTGTGTATTCTTTTTCTCATCTTACGCTTCTTGTATTGATATAATTTATTTCAGTCGTTGAGAATATATTAGGTATTTCTAAATTTTGTTCTCTAGGTGTTTGACAAAATTATTCAATGAATCAGGTTGTATTAGATTTCTTATGCACACTCCTACCTTTTTCTCTGATTTCATTCTTTGATTGCATTTTCAGTAAGCGCTTTCGTGTAAGAAAGGAATAAATCAGTATATGACTAATTCAAACACTTCAAAATTGATTTAAACATGAAACTGAAAGGTTCATAAACTACGAAAAAAGAATTATCTTTCATTCTGGATTTTTCAAGGAAACTTTGTTGGAATCTACAAGTTATGTCCATAGAATAGGAGAAAGAATATAATGTTTTGGATATTAGGGAATAGAGCCAGTTTTAGTAAACTTTATTGCATTAAGTGGTTTACTTAGTTTTATAAAGTTTTCTTTCATGTTTTGGACATTGAACGTGGTGATCATTTTGCAGCTGATAAATTTTAATTCTTGCTTCTGTCTACTCCGAGTTGATTTTGTCATGAACTAATGTGGTGGTTTACAGAGCTGCTGCAGTTTCAAGAGAGAAGGGAGGGGCATGTCTTCAACTGAAACTGTCGTACAATGGATTAGTTCTTGTGCTGCTGCTTTTACTCCGTTGGATAGATAGTTCTTGCACATGCTTGCTCCCTGGTTATCTAAATCTCTTTCAGGTCCTCATTTACAACGTTTGGCCCCTATTTCTCTTGTTCATTCTGAATTCTATTTCTTTACCCTTGCTCTTTCCTTCTTTTTGCAACTAATCCTAATTCCATTCCATTTATATGTGGATTATATATTAGAAGAGTCAATATGTGTGTACCCTATGTGTAAGTCAAATGGAACATGCCAAAAAAGAATCATCAAACTCCAATTTGCTTCTGGATTTGAAGAGTATTCAATATTATTTTTTTTCCGCACTTTATTAGTGACAATAAAAAGTAGTACATAGTCATAAAGGGAAAAAAAGGAATTGACTGTGATGAAGAGATTAAATTATTGTGCTAATAGCTCGAATGATGAATCATATTTGCACAGATGTTACATCAACTACTTGGTAGTTTCGTGATACTCTGCTGAAAGAGGTCTCAAAATTTTGAATGACTTTCATGAAAGCTACCTTTTAATATTTCTGTTTTTGTTGTTTGCTATTTTAAATCTGGTTATTTTGTAGGAATAGTTTTTCAAATGAATAGGATGTTTACTGTCTGATAAGTTAACCAAATTTTTCTACAATTATATATACCAAAAGTACAAGTAGTTGATCATTTTAAGTCCTTTCTAGCAGTTAACAAACTATGTAATCGTGCCATATATTCTTGAAAATGCAGAACAGCCAATATAGATGTAGAAAGCAGTGAATAAAAAATTAAAAGGAGTATAACTTGGGTATGAGAATGGACGTTGTGCACATAACTATTTGAGTACAATAATGTATATTTGTAAACATTACGTGTTGCATAAAAATATCACACAAGTGTAGGAAACTGAACACTTTGAATGTGTATTTAGTTGCGCATAGCTTTTCGTCTCTCATTCCGTAAGGCAACAGTGAATATTTGCAACAAAATTTAACACTTATTAGCTAACTGACTAATTTAATTTAGTTTGTGGTGCGTTGTTAATTTGGAGTGCATAGATGGCGCACGTTGGTTAGAGCAACTGAATTAACTTTTATTTTTCCCCTCTTTGGTTTTTTAAGTCATGAAATATGAAAGAAAACACAGGAGATTCATGTGCAGCCAGTAAAGTTCTTCAAGCACTGTGAAGTAGAGGTTATTAACTCTCCCTTAATAGCGTCAATAGGACTTTTATTAGGACACGACGCGTCTGTCCAACGATAAGTATGAGTTTTCAGTTTACAACTTTCATTTTACTGTTTCTTTATAAGTCATTTTGAGCTCTTATCTGTTCAAATGCATATCTATATGACCAATTTCATCTTAACATTACTAAAAATATCTTTTCACTTCTCTCTGAAGTCTTTGTCCTAACTATTAGGTTTACCCTCACCTTCTATGAATGGTTAGTGCATAATTACCTCTGATTGATGGCAAGTTATTCATTCTTTTATATACACCTCCTGTTAAATCTAAGGAAGGATGTGCTATGTAAAATTTACGTGCTTCGGATTAAAAGGAAGATAAAATTTTGCACACATAGTTGGATTGAAACAGGGACATTGAGGGATGAATTCCCTACTCTTTGTAGTTCAACCCTGAACAAAAATGTTTATATTTGGTGATTGTTTTGTCAATCCTGAATGACATCTATAGTTTAAGAAAAACTTTAATGACAGAGAACATGCACCTTTCATACTTTTGCAGCCACTTTGAACTTAGTTCTTCATCTTTATTACCATTGTCTCTTTTTTTTTCTTTTTTTGTTTAACATTTTCTCTTCTCCATTCATATGTGCAGATGGTGAATTCAACCCATGCATTATGGTCTTGCCACCTTAATCAGGGCATTTACTATGAAAACAGTCATGGTGATCAAATATACATTGTAGGACAACCTCAATCTTCCTCTGTACAACAACCTCAAAGGTGATTGCGGACAAATAAATCTTTAATAGAATTATTCAACAAAGTGAAAAGGTAATGGAGTTTATAAACCCTTCTCTCTGAAGTCTTTGTCCTAACTATTAGGTTTACCCTCACCTTCTATGAATGGTTAGTGCATAATTACCTCTGATTAATGGCAAGTTATTCATTCTTTTATATACACCTCCTGTTAAATCTAAGGAAGGATGTGCTATGTAAAATTTACGTGCTTCGGATTAAAAGGAAGATAAAATTTTGCACACATAGTTGGATTGAAACAGGGACATTGAGGGATATTCCCTACTCTTTGTAGTTCAACCCTGAACAAAAATGCTTATATTTGGTGATTGTTTTGTCAATCCTGAATGACATTTATAGTTTAAGAAAAACTTTAATGACAGAGAACATGCACCTTTCATACTTTTGCAGCCACTTTGAACTTAGTTCTTCATCTTTATTACCATTGTCTCTCTTTTTTTTCTTTTTTTGTTTAACATTTTCTCTTCTCCATTCATATGTGCAGATGGTGAATTCAACCCATGCATTATGGTCTTGCCACCTTAATCAGGACATTTACTATGAAAACAGTCATGGTGATCAAATATACATTGTAGGACAACCTCAATCTTGCTCTGTACAACAACCTCAAAGGTGATTGCGGACAAATAAATCTTTAATAGAATTGTTCAACAAAGTGAAAAGGTAATAGAGTTTATAGACCAGTAACTCTGATTATGATATATTTACTGTATAGGGTGTCCAAAGTTGCTACAATCTTCTCCAAAAGCTAGATAGTAACTGGGACAACAAGTGGTCTTAGAAGATAACACGAAGGACAAAAACAACACACCAAAATGCCCTGCTTTGTGTGAAATGCTGTCGAGGCAGCATGTCTCAGCCAAGATAATTGGCAGAGAAGAGGACTTTCTATTTGCAGCAGATGTTACCTGTGTGAAAAATGACGAAGGAATCTATCAGCCATTTAAATTTTTTTGGTGTTGACTTCATGATGCCACAGTATATCAAATGATTACTTTCAGATTGGCAAGCACAAAGAATTGATAGAGCATTCTTCTATTGTAAAATAAAAATGTATATTTTCAATCCTTCATTAAATTACCACATGTATCAACTGGTACATGACATTACATGTGCATTTACAATGTCAGCTTGGTTGAAAGCATTTATTGTAGTCCGCAAATGTTGTCTATCTACTATAATAAAAGAGGTGATCTGCCTATTGTAAGGTTTCTCGGAGGTGGCCCAAACCCAGGTTGTGACGCTTCCTGTTGAATACATAATATTGACTTGAAGTTCATATACACAGTACGAAAAAAATATTATCTCACTCTCGAGATTGGTATAAGGTACCAAACCACACGAAGGAACATGGCATTTTCCTTAGACAATTTAGGCTCCTAGAGAATTAATGAAGTAGGAGAACATTTACAGAATACTATTAGAAACAATTGCGCTATTGGGCCCGTGCTTAGCACGAGCAATTCCCACTAGTAGCAATATAAAGATACAAGAACCATAGACTGACTTCATTTAGACCAAGCAACAAATTCTAGGAAAAATTCTATTAAGGCAGAATTGAAAAATATAGCTTCAGCGCAAAACGAAATAGCCTTGCCACGCTCAGAAATACAAAGTCCCTGTCATCCGTTATAAAGTTGACAGAGAGACTAGATACAGCAATATAAAGATACAAGAACCATAGACTGACTTCATTTATGATACGCTTTAGAAGCAATTGGACAAAGCGTAAAGCAACATCAAGGATTAATTTCACTCACCTGCAACTGGCATACATCTTGACATAAAGGTCGTTATAAAAAAAAAACAGTGTTAAGGGCAGCAACCTGTCATATTAACACAGCAACCAATAAGTATACTGAATTGCTTTGAATCAATTTAATTGATTGTTAAAAGAAACTCTACTAGAAATCTTTTCGTAATATTTGTTACTCTAATCTAACTCAAACAAAGAAATTAAGTAGGCGTTTGGACATAAAAATTGTAATTTTTGAAGAAAAAAAAAAGTAGTATTTGTAGTTAAGTTGAAAATTGGTATTTGGAATTTGAAATTATGTTTGGACATGCATTTCACTTGGAAAAAAATTGCAGTTTTGTGAGTTGGGAAAAAAGGTTTTTTGAAAATTTTGAAAAAGTGGTCAAAACCACTTTTTGGTTTTTGAAAAACTCATTTTCAAAAAATTCCCAAAAACTTGCAAAATTTCACGGACAAATACATTTTTGAAAAAAAAAAAAGGAAAAATTTATAATGGACAAACGGGTCCTAAAACTTCTCAAATTGCAAATGTCTGAAAATGATGTATCATCTTTCAAAGAATTGAGAACTATTTCTAAACACCCCATCAATCGTTATTGTTCAAGTGACAATATGTCTATGTGATATTTATCAAACACCAAATAGGCTTTTAAATCTATCCTCTAGACGCAAACAGCGCAACTATTTAGTACAAACAAATGAATCAAAATAAAAGAAATCACAAGCAATATAGTAAAAACAACTGAATCAGAATGAAACCCACTCTCCTGTTATAAAAACATGAGTACAAAGTATAACATCGCAAAACTGAAAAAGAGAAGAACAAAACTTTATGGGGTTGAAAACTTTATTGTTCAAAATATAACAAGTTGCATCTTGTGATTACAAACACTCTTGCGACGTTGAAAACTTTATTTTCCGGATTGAGCTTGGGAAGTATCTTTCTGTCTTCAATTCCTTTGATCGTTCTATCTTTATTAATTAGTTTATTATTTCTATTTCTATTGTGTATTGCTCGAACATATCAAAGTTGGGAGAATACCAGACGATGCATTTCTATTGGTAAATAAGTCCAAATATGATATGTATAATTGGTTATTCTAATATTCTAATTATGAACCATACTTTTGTGTCTTACGTTGGTGACTGGTATTTTAGAAGATGATGACATTTTGATATATAGCAAGTCATTGACTATAATATCTTAAATTTAATGTAAGAATTTAATGTAAGAGTAAGGTTTATAGGTGCAATTTGAAGTTATTCCAACCAGGGAAATCTGGTATGGGCTGTTTATGACTTCTTTATATTAATGTTACTTTCTTTTTATATGGATATGTCAGATTCGAGGATGAATTTCCGAAAGGAGGAATCGATATGGTCCTGGATAGCCCGACTAGCACGAAGCTCATTATAGAAGAATAATTTCTTGTTCCTTCTAAAAATAAGACTTTCTATGTTTTGTTTCCTAAGTTGGTTTAGCATTTCTTTCAAGGAAGCGACATCTTTGTTTCCTTTCATGGTAGATTTCTACCATCCACATTATTTTTCTTGCAAAATAAGGGTTTTTCATTCCTTAATTTTACTATTCTCTCATTGTTTTATTTATTTCCTTTCTTCATTAGAGAACGAATTATTTTTTTCCTAGCTCTACGTAATAGCTATAACTACTTGGTAGACTTGTTTATATGTGAGATTTTACATATTATTATTACATATAACTTTGTGAGGCTGGAAACCTTATAGTTAGGATTGAACTTCGGAATACCAAGTTTGAAATTTTAACAGTAATCCTTTCTTCTTTAAATCTTTATATCTTTGATTCTTACTTGTCGTTCTTTGGGAACTTTTATATCAATTGTTACCATAGATATTCAACTAAGATCTAAAGTTCTTAGCCTTTAATTCCTTTGGAAATTTCTGTCATTTAATCTTTTATTAATTAGTTTATTATTTATTATTTCATTGCGTCTAGCCCGAAACATATCAATTGGTATTTCAGGATATTAATATAAAATAAATGATCAAAGGAATTAAAGACAACTAAGAATCTAAGACCTAATTGAACATCTATGGTAACAATTGATATATGAAATCAATCGCCCCCAAAGAACGACGCTTAAGAACCAAAATGTAAAGATTTAAAGAAGAAAGAATTACAGTAAGAAACAACGCTTGAAAGTAATCCCAAAGTTCAACCTGAAGAATAAAATTTTCACCTCAAAAAGGTGTTTGCAATCAGTATACAAAAACTCTCTCCTAAAAAACAAGTCTCAAGTATTTATAGCTATATATTACATAAAGTTAGAAAAAGACAATTTCTTATTCTAATAAAGAAAGGAATTAACTAAAACAAGAAAATAATAGAAATAAGTAATAGAAAGCCCCTATTCTACAAGGATAATAATATGGAAACCAGAAACCTACCAAGAAAAGGAAACAAGATCTCCCTTCTTCAAAAGAAATACTAAAATAACTTATGAAAGGAAACAAAACAAAGTTTTTTTTTTTTAATGAAGTAATTATCATTAACAAAAGGCATCCAGAAGATGCAGAATACAAGGCAACCAAAAAGTTAGCTCCAGAACTATGTCTATGCTAGAATTAAGGAGCTAACAAAATCCAAAAAATTATCTAACACTGTTTACAGGGGAATGAAAATGCCAGCTAAACAATCTAACTAAGCATCTGGCCTTAAGAGTGTAAGTTGGAGTTGAGATCCCATCAAAGCATCTACTATTCCTTTCGGTCCAGACACTCCAAAAGATTACGGCTGGGATCATCCTCCAGATCCTTTTGATCGTTTTATCAACTCTCCAAAAATGCCAACTAATAAATGCTTCCTTAATGTTTTGAGGCATGATCCAATGGAAAACCTAAAATAGAAAGGAAAAAGTTCCAGAGATCAGCTGTGAGAGGACAGTGTAGAAATAGGTGGCTGACATCCTCTGAACTTTGGTGGCACAAATAGCATCTGTTCACTAAAGTTATGCCTCTTTTGTTGAGGTTGTCCTGTGTTAAGCATGCTCCATTAAGTGCTATCCAAGAAAAGAATGAGACTTTCGGAGGTAGTCTAATCTTCCACACATGTTTCCATGGCCAATCCTCCAGGATGCCATTCTCAGAGCATAGATGATAGTAACCAGCTTTGATTGTATACCTCCCTTCTTTAGAGCTTCCCAACAAGATTTTGTCCAGGTAGATGTGGACTAAAGTTATAGTCTTCCAAGGCTGCAAGGAGAGTGAGTAGGTCATTGATTACCCAATCTTGAAGATTCCTTCTGAATGTGGGGTTCCAGCTGTTGTTTTCTATGTATTGGGCAATAGAAGCATCCTTGTTACATGCAAGCTGATATAACCCAGGGTAAGATTCCGGTAGGGTTGTGCTGCCAATCCATTTGTCTTCCCAGAATTTGATATGTTGACCATTGCACTCTGAAGGATGTGTTCTGGAAAAATTCGTTCTTGTGACTGCTTATGTGTTTCCAAACTCCAACCCCATGTGGTAATGTGCTTTCCTTGGTACACCAGTGGCCTTGAGTACCAACTTTAGCATCTATAATTGTCTTCCAAAACCTGCCTCTTGTTGCCCATACCTCCAAAGCCATTTCATTAACATGCTTTTGCTATGATTCTTCAAATTCTTGATACCCAAACCCCCTTGGAAATTTGGCTGAGTGACTTTGGACCACTTCACCAATGAGAACTTTTGAGTTGTGCTGTTTCCATCCCATAGAAATATTCTTCTCAATTTATCTGCTTCAGAACTGAGCTTGGGATGGGGTATAGTGAAATAAAGTAAGTTGGAATACTATCAAGAACACTGTTGATCAGTGTGAGTCTGCCGTCCAACGAAAGATATTGCATTTGCCATGTTGCCAACCTCTTTTCCATTTTCTCAATGATGCCACCCCAAATACCTACTGACTTAAATTTAGCTCCTAGGGCAGCCCTAGATAGGTGGTAGGTAGAGAGCCTATTTTGCAACATAGTAAGTCTGCCAGCTCCTCTAGATTAGGGACTTCATTGACAGGATAAATGATGCTCTTCAGCATGTTAATGTGCAAACAATAAAGAGACTCAAAAATCAGTAGAGTGGGGTTTAGATATGATACTTGAGAACTCTCAGCTCCACAGAATACTAGGGTGTCATCGGCATACAACAAATGGGAGACAGTGACTGCATTGTCACGGTTCCTTCCTACTTGGAATCCTTGTATTTGGCTTTCTCCAGCATTTGAGTGAGTCCTTCCATTGCTAGTATAAAGAGGAAAGGGGAGAGGGGGTCTCCCTGCCTTAGGCCTTTTTCGGGGGAGAAGAAACCTACAGGACTTCTGTTAACCAGCACCGAGTATTTGACTGTGGATATGTTGAAAAAAACCCATCTTATCCACCTGTCTCCAAATCCCATCTCCTTCAGAATGTTGATGAGAAATGACCAATTCAATTGGT